CGTTTCCATTATAGGTTGCTATTAAACAGATTAATTTACAGAAACACCCACAGAAGGAACTGATCCTTAATGAGCTTTTGGTGATGAAAGAATTAAAGAATCCCAACATAATTTACTTCTTAGACAGCTAAATATGTTTGAGATTCTTTTAATCATTAGGATAAAAACATGGAAATTTGTATTCTGGTGGTTCAATGGAGGCTAGCCACTTTGAAGTGTCAATACTGAGAAGTTAACTTAAAAGAGAAAGAGAAGAGGTGAAAATAGCATATTCCAAATCAGAAGGTCCTTTTGCTACAAGGATATTATTTGGCTGCTGAGAAAAGGCAGGCTAAATGAAGGACATTGCTGATGGTGTGTATATTCATGCAAATGATCAGAAGCAGAAACATTAAGGAATGATTAGCTGAGATTCATGTCTTAACCCACAGAAGTGACTAAACACAATTCTTAAATGTTTAGATCAGTTTTTATATCAAATGCTGTTCTTTGTAGGCAAATTGTACATGTTTATAAGACACTCCTGTAGGCCAGGTATGATAGTGTAAGCCTGTAACCTTAGTGACTAGAGAGGCTGAGGCAGGAGGATCATGAGTTCAAAGTCAGCCTCCATAATTTAGCAAGGACCTAAGCAACTCAGTGAGACCCTGTCACTAAATAAAATACAAAATAGGGCTGGGAACGTGGTTCAGTGTTTGAGTATCCCTGAGTTCAATCCATGGTGCAACTCATGAAGTTTACAAATTGATGTTTAAAAGAAATAAAAAAAATGATAGAATGAAAAATTAAGTATAAAATTCAATACTCTACAAAAGTGGTTACACACATGAATGAAAAAATGATACTAGTGTTTGTGTTATAGGGTTACAGGTGATTTTCTTCCATATATAAGTTTGTTTAGAGTGAGGAATTGGTAATATATTTTGAGATTTTTTGACCTATTATTTGATCTGCATTCATGGAAATAAATTTTTAGGTACATTTATTTGCTTTCTAAAATAATATTTCAAGTCAGCATGGAATGCTGGTTAAAATAAGCTATAGGCCTTGGAATCATTAGAACTTGACTTTAGAAGCTGATTCTGTCACTTATTATGTGATCTTAGATTAATTAGTTAATCTCTCCAGCCTCTGTCTCTGTATTTGTAAAACAAGACCAATAATCTCTGCATTATAGGGTTACTTTGGTTGGAAAACTTCAAAATATACACCTAGACTACTATTATGGGCAATCTATGAAGTAAAAATCATAATGAATATCATAATGACCCTCAGATATTTTTTGTGCTGTTACATATTAACTTTCCAGTTTTCTTGTTTATTCTCAAAACTATCATCTCTGTCATTTTATTATTATGGTGCTTAACATTTGCACTCTTGAACATAGAGTGTCATATGTTCAAAAAAATAGAATGTCAGTTTTGTATGTTCTATTTTTAGTTACCTGGTAGGAGATGACTTGTTTAGTATCAGAGTACCTTGCCGGTGGACAACTGACTGATGTTGTTACAGCAACTTGCATGAATGAGGCATAGATTGCTGCTGTGTGCAGAGAGATGAGTTTGCTTTCATCAGGATAAAGTAGGATGATGTGGGGTTAGCAAGAGATACCTATAAAAGGAAGGTTTTCCTACAAGGGGAATTGTACACATTCTCTGCAAGTTATCCCATATTATTTCATCTCAGATGAGAGTGCCAGTTCTTCATATATAGGATACCTTTGGAATGAGTTATGGCACTTTTTAATTTTTTTTGTAGTATTGGGGATTGAATCTAGTTTGCTGTACCACCAAGTTACATCCTCAGCCCTTATTATTATTATTATTATTATTTATTTTGAGACAGTCTTAAAAGATGCCTAGGATGGCCTGGAACATATGATCCTCCTATTTTTGCCGCTAGTGTAGCTGGGGTTACACACATTGCTGATTAAGATTTTGAAGAATGAAATTCACCAGCAAATCTCCTCATAGTCATCATAATAGTTTATCATCCAGATAGGCTACTTCTGAGAATAGATTGGGGTACTTTAAAAAATATTCCACTCAGCCAGCTGTGGTGGTGCATGTCTGTAATTCCAGTGACTCAGGAGGCTGAGACAGGAGGATTGAAAGTTCAAAGTCAGACTCAGCAAATTAGCAAGGCCCTAAGCAACTTAATGAGACCCTGTCTCAAAATTAAAAATAAAACCTGATGGAGATGTAGCTCAGAAGTAAAGTTTCTTCATCCTAAAACCATAGAATCTTTCCACTTGTACCCTCCCCTGCGTCCTGAAAATTGGGAACTAAAATTATCACAGAAAAAGCAAGACACGTGTCTAACTTTAATATCAGTAAGTCTGCTTCTAGTTTCATTGAAGGTGAAGAAATTGATCATTTCTTATATTTTTAAATGGATTTCCAGATGTTCTGTTTCCTATGGCTAGTAGAATTTTCCAAATTACCTAAGTCTGAATCAAAAACAAGTGTTCCACCTGTCCATCTGTAACTTTTTCTATAGAGGAGACTTAGGTTACTAGTTTGCTTATTATCACTGAAACTAATATTATGCTCTCCTGATGTCACAGGGATCATTGTCATAAATAACAAAATTATAAAATTTTATGAGGAACTATTGAACTATTGTATAATACATAGTGAATTAT